TGCTGCAGACCCCCCCCCCCCCTTCCGTCCCTCCCTCCCCTCCTTCCCGTCACAACAAACGACCCCTGCGCGATATGCATCTTTCGCGCTGAACGAACCCTACGGCAGCGGCCCCAGCAGCCTCAGCAGCAGCACCACCGGCACCGGCAGACGCCGCCCCCGCCCCCGCCCCCGTTGTCGTGGCCGCCGTTGACCCTTCCTCGAGGCTGCTCGCGCCTACCAAGCTGTCGCAGGGCCGCGCCCGGCCCCGCAGCGCCAGCCCATCGGTGTCTTCGGCTAGGGGGCGAGCCTCGACGGGAGGCTTGGGGGGCCCCGGTGGATCCGGACCAGGTAGGGGGGGGGGGTCTCGCGGCGGCCTGTGTCTTGCGGCTGTCTGTATTGCGCGTGTTGTGCAGCAGGATGGACAGAGATGAAGAGTGGTTTTGATTGGTTTAGGGTCGATCGTCTTGGGTGGCTGAGTGTAACGACTTCAGGACATCGGTCTCAAGCGTGTGGCCGAACGACGTGAGGATAAGTCAGCATCTGCAGGAGGGGCAGGGAGGAGGGTTCAACGTACGGATTGAGGGTGTCGTTGGAAACGAAGCGCGTTTGGGTCTCAGGTCGTTGTTGGTGTTCGATGGCTGCTGTATCTGTCAATCGAGAGGCCTTGTTGAACTGTCAAGTTGCGCCGTTTGTAGCAAAGATCTCGAAGTCAACCAGCTTGGATCATGTATGCGTACTCGCATTCCAATCGTTGAATACAACATGATCAATGCACAGAAAGCAAGGCCGCCGTGCAATCTCGATTTGATTGCTAGCATTTTCCTTTTTTTTTAGATGAGAGCGTTCGGCTCGTTTTGTTTTTTCTTTGGTTGGACCGCTGTCCGTTTTCGATCAATAACACCGTACCACAAGCTGCCGGTTTATTTGATGTTGCGATGTCTGTTTTTGTCACCCCTCTTCCTGTCGACGTGGTGGATGCAGGAGTCAACCGGAGGGTGTCAACCGCCGGGCCCACTCCCCTCCAGCAGCAGCAGCAGAAGCTGCAGCAGAAGCAGCAGGAACAGCAGCAGCAGCAGAAGCAGCAGCCGCAGCAGGCACGCCCCCGGTCGGCTTCTACTGGAAGGAGGGCGCTAACCATGCCCAAGACGCCCAACTTCCGCACATCGTAAGAAGCCAACGATTGCACTCGTGCTGCTGTGTTTGCCAAGAGTTTGTGTGGACCTTGCTCTTTTTGTGCTGCTGTTTGGACAGCCGGTGTTCGCCGCTCACCGTAAGAAGGAGCAGGGCCGTGTTGTTGTCATGTGCCACTCACTATGCTCGTCTAGCAAAGGAAATCGGGTTCCACCGCGCTGGAAAACAAGACACACGCGTGTTAGGAGGTTCTACTGGCTACCCCAGCGGGTGAAGCTTCCCTTTGATCGTTGTGTTATCTAGAAGTATGAAGGTGGGGAAGGGGGAGAGGAAGCCGGGCGGGCATCATGACCGCCGACGAGACGGCGACACAGCACGCCTCCTATGGGATGTGTCGTCAAGGTGACTTCGCCGCAGGTGCGGCGGCTTTGCTCCATTTTCCCGCTCCGTTTTTCTTTTTTTTTTTTTGCGGTCTAGATACCACCTTTTTTTTTTTGCTCCTGTTTGTTGGCTGCATAATGACCCAAACCGACAACAACAACGAAGACGGCAATCTCTTGCGCAGGAAGACAAGCTTATTTTTTTCATGCTCAATCAATACTCTCCCCACCTCCGCGTACCCGACCTGGCGTTGAGCAGGAGCCGGGCGAAGACCGACAAGCCCCAGGAAACCAGCGAGGAGGCCGAGTTCCGCAAGCAGCAGGCCATGCAGGAGCAGCTCAAGCAGATGACGCGGCGGAACCAGGTGGTCATGGAGCGCAGCCGCCGCACCGCCTACAGCGGCAACGTGCGGAGCAGCAAGCCATTGACGGTAAGGGGTCACGCGGACTGGAGTTCGAGGGGGGGGGTGTTGGTGCTTTTCGCGTTTGGCCCCTGATCATGCGTTGAGAGGGGCTCGGTTTCAGCTCCCAAGTAGACGGATAGTCGTGTCGTTTTTGAAGGCATTGCCATGCTTCATGCTCCACACAGTGAGTGGCGATGCTGCTGTATCGTCCTAAGTACGGAGATATCGACACAATGGTTGCGATGCAGTACGGCCAATGAAGCAATGGATAAGTTTTGGGGTGGGGGAAGCGATTCCGAACACGTAGGGGTCGGCTACTCATGAGGAGTAAGAAAGGCTCTTGGACTGTCTGTCAGCTTTGCTGCCAATTGCAAGACCCTGAGGTACATGGTGGCGGCACATGAGGATGAGTGCAACCCCCCCCCCACCCCGGAATATGCATTTTCGGCGTGCCTCTCTAGGTTCCCGAAAGCCCGGCGATGAAGACCGTGGGGAGGCTTGGAGGGAAGGTCTACGCAGCCGTTGGTCCGAAGGTGACCCTACAGTATTATTGCATCCTCTCTTGATTGGTTGATTCGTTGTTGTTCTTCGCATTTTCCTTTTGTATTGTTCGCTCTCTGACCACCGTAGATATGGTTCGGATTGTTGTACCCTTGAAAACCAATCAGTCTCTTTATTTTTCGTTTTTGTGTGTGCCCTTTTTTTGAAAGTCTGTGACCACGGAAGGCGTGGCGGCGTGTTTCTTTCGCGAATTGACTTTTGTTTTTAAGTTTTTCATGTCACTTTATTTGATTTTTTTGCCTCGGCGAACGGGACGAAGGGTCTTCTCTCACTGATTCTTTGGGGCAGCTTATGTTGATGGTTGCCCTTATCTGCTATATAATACTTGAACTTTTGTGTAATTTTGTCTCGACAGGATCAGGTCGGCTTTTCACCCACGCATCCGGCGAAGAACGACCCGCTCTCTAAGGATAACTTGGCACAGCTTGCTGCCCAGCCCAAGGTGACCGTTTTTTGTTGTTGTTGAACGAAATACTCGCTTAACCATTTCCCTTCATCCCTTCTTGTACAGCCTTTGGTAAATGACGGTATTTGTCTATACGTGCGGGTGACATTCTGCGATTTTTCTGTTTTTCGCCTAGCAGGCGCGGTGCTGTGTTTCCCCCAGACAGTCCGTGGTTTTTGCTCGCAATCCTTCTGATGATCCGGGTTCCATCTGCTTTTTTTTTTTTTTCTGGAAAGAGGAAAACAACTTCGACAGACGAGGGGGAGATGGATGTGACCCTTTCGTTAAGGTCACGTCTACGTTTGACATTCGTTTTTCTTCACGTTCCGCTTCGTTGTTTTATCGTGTTGGGAATTGCCTGTACCTTTTTTTGTCGGGGCCACACTGCTGCGCCAGGCCCCTTCCAGCCCAGCTCAGCTTGTTGTACCTTCTCGGCGTATCGTACTCTCTGTCAGTGTCTTGGGCACTGCCTGTACCTTTTCTTTTTCAAGGCCCCACTCTGTCCCGCCGGCCCTTGTAACTCTAAACGTCTTGGCGTTATCTGTGCCTTTTTTCGTCAGGGCCCCACTGTTCCGGTCCCTTTCTTTCCAAAGTCTTTGCGCTATCTGTACCTTTTTTCGTCAGGGCCCCCACTATTCCGACCTCTCTCTTTCTTAACGTCTTGACGTTATCCTATTTTTTTTCGTCAGGGCCCCACCGTTCCGGCCCCCTTCCAGCTCAGCAAGAGCAACCGGCCCAGCAGCCGCGACGGAGGTTCGGCGCCAGGAACGCCTCGCTCTAAGGAGGACACCCTAACCTTCCGCGAGTCTCTCGCTCGCATCGAGAACAAGGTGCTTATTATAGTGCTGTCGTAGGACGGCTTAGTGTTAGGGTAGGAGGCTCTCGCCATCGTCGAAGACAAGAGTACATGTATCATAGTCGCGGAAGCAGGGGGTAGTGTTGGGGGTATTGTAGTCTCTCGCCGGCATCTAAAATCAAGAGCAGGGGATAGTGTTGGGGGTATTGTAGTCTAAAATCAAGAGAAGGTAGGTGAGCCTCCTGTGGGGCGGGTTGGTGTTTGGGTTAGAGTCTATCGCCAGCATCGAACATGGTCCTCCATGGTGCAGGTTAGTGTCAAGTGTCAAGGGTTGCCTCTCGTCTGCATCGAAAGAGGGTGTATTCGTGGGCCTTGTACAATGTTGGGGCGAGCGGCCCGGTGGAATCTCTTGTGTCGTCGCACAGATATCTGCGTTTACAATTGTTTTGAGTTTGGGCCGGTGCCCTCCGCTACGTGCAGGGCGGGTGAATCGGTCTCGCACATACGCTCGATAGAGGGCCCACCACGATATAGGGAGGACAGGGAATCCTAACCTTGCCCGACGATTTGTTTCTGTTCTTGCGTACGGTAGTGTGCGGTGGGTGGCAGGCTTCGAGCCAAGGTCTGTCGCCACAACAAAAAAACTGATGTCTCACGACGACGCCAATGTGAAGACGAGGGAATCGTTCTCGGCAGGCATTGTGATATAACTAACTCCCTGTTGTTTTTTTTCTCTTCTTTTCGGTGTTCTGTTTCGCGTGATTGTTGATGTCCCGTTCCAGACGCCGGACCGTTTCCGCACCAGGCCCGTGGGCGAACAGCCCAGGCTACAGCCAATCGCTCGCGTAGAGGCGAAGCCCACGCTTCCCAAGTCGCCCAAGTGAGCAACACTGCTGTGTAGAGTTGTTGCTGATTGCGCTGCACGGTGTGAAGTCGAGTTTTTTTGTTTTTTTATTCGTTGACAGACCTTTTGCTGCATGTACAAGGATGGATGGGTGTAGACGAACAGTATTTTTAGATATTTTTTGCATGAAACCGGTAGGGGGTTGCCGTCAGTGCACGCGTCCGTTACCTGATGTACGCACACATGGCTTTGCATTGCAATGACCCTGAGCTCTCTGACTTGCGGTTCCAAGTACCGAGTACCGTACCTATCACAGGGTGTGTTTTGGCTTCACTGGCCTTTTTTAGAAGGTGGCCTTGTTTGTTGTTTCCCTGTGGTGGGATGAAGGCCAAGTGATGCCGGAAGGCTAGTTGTTACTCCCCACCGGGACATCGCCCCTTGCGAGAAAGGTGTGCGGGGAGGGGTGTGTGTGTGATCGTGGCTGATATAATGCATCGCTACGGTTTTTGCCCGACGACCTGTTGCGTTCTCGCCTGCCCTTGCTGCTGTGTGCATGACTGGATGGTTGCAACAGGTTCAGGACAGAGGCGAGAGCGGCGGGTTACTCGAAGGGACACTTTCCGTCTAGAGAGGAACGGGAGGAAGCCGAGCTGGCGGAGATGAAAAAGGCGAGAAGAAAATAAAATAATGTTCTGTTATATTGTGCTTTGCTCTGCTCTGTTCTGTCCGGTTCAAGTTGTACTGGTCTGTTGTGGTCTGTTGTGATCTGTCCAGTTACAAATGTACCGGTCTGTCTGTTGTGATTTGTTGTGGTCTGCTCTGCTCTTTTCTGTCCAGTTCAAGTTGTACTCGTGTGGTCTGGTCTGGCGTATTTTGGTCTGGTCTGTTCGCTTGCATTACGGGCTCCCCAACGTGCCGTACGTACGGCACACGCACACTATTTACAACATGCGCGCCCACGAGCCGATGCTGTTTACCTCGAGTAGAGTAGCTTTGGGGCACATGCTGCGTTTTGGTAAGCTTTCAGAGTACAGGGGTCGTAGGCCCTGTCCAGTCCATTGTTACTGTTTTGTTTTTGTCGCGAAACGTTCCAGATTCTGCTGACAACCTGAGAAAGCTCTGGGTGGTATTCTGTCCTGTCCTGTCCTGTCCTGTCCTGTCCTATCTCACAAGTACATCCAAGGGCCCTCAAGAGTAGTGCCGACATGTGTCATGCCAATTCTCAGGCACTAGTGAGGGCACGAAACGGCTTGATCGCTCTGCCTACGTCACACGATTTCACCAGCACCAAATGATGCGCCCGACCGCTAAACGGTACAATACTGCTGGAGAACTCTTGTGCCTTTCTTTTCCCGGCGGTTTAGTAAGACGTGCTCTGCCAACGACAAAGATATGGATCAAGGGACAACGAACTTTTGTGTTGTCGGCATTGTCATTGCGTTTGCCAGCGTTGTCTCCAGTAATTTCGTCGAGCAGGATCAGGTCAAGGCCAGAAATTCCGTATTGGCGTGCGCATGGCGTAGCATTCTTCCACAGCAGCTACTCACCCCAGACGATGGACAACGCAAACCGAAGCAAAGCAAGTCGTCGCGGGTTCTTCATTTTTCTTGTCAGTAGTTTTAATTTTGCCCCACGCACCCCCTCTTTTTAGCTTTGATTGTTGATGTTCAAATCTGACCTGTTTCTTGCTGTTTGTTGTGGTGCTCGTGTCTGTTTTTTCTCTTGTTTCCGTTCGAGTAGCACCAATTTAAGGCCCTTCCGTACAACGCGGACGGCTTCGGGGTTGGAGGGGAACAAGGCGTTTTCCGTCCCCAGCACAGCGACAAGCAGCTCACACAGCCTACGCCGTTCCATCTCAGCAGCGATGACCGTGCCTCGAGGAGGGCTCCGAGGTATGGATCATAATAGTACCGTAGGTGACGTAAGATAGCACACCCCCTGGACCGATTTTCAAAGCTAGATATCTCCACGATGAAGAGGATGCATAAGACAAAATACACGCTTTCGGAAAGATCTCGACGGGACGGTTCCAACACTACCTTCTTCAGTACCGTCTCTGCTGTTTTTTGCTGCAGAGTATTCGACCGTTGTTGAGTTAATTCTGATTTAGCAAGCAATACTTCTTTGAAAGACCTTGATTGAAGAAGGCCAGGATTTAATTTAATATCTAGACGCCTATACTATATTAGTCGAAACTTGACCTTGGATTTTTTTGTTTATTGATGATGGCTATGTAGGCATCTACGATTTCGAAGCCCTCCCCACCCCCAGCCCTGTTCGTCACCGCTGGAGAGAATTGAGTGATTTAGGGGTTTCGGGCCTCCCGCAGTCGCGACAAGGAAGACCTCCCCCCCCCGACGAAAACCAACTATTGAGCCCCCTCCACCCAACCCTTGCCCTCGTGTGTGTGTGTGTGTGTATGTGTGCAGCCCTCACCGCAGCCGTGACGAGGAAGAGCTGTCGAAGAAGTTCAAAGCCAGGCCCATGCCCGGTGGACGTAGCTCTAGCGTCGGAAGGTGAAACTTCTTTTTTTGGTCTTGAACGAAGTAAATGTATTTCAATGTATCCACAAGTTGACAGGGGGGGGGGGGGGGGGGGGGGTTTTTGTTCTCTGTTTGGGGGGGGAGGAACCTTTATGC